ATAGATAGATAGATAGATAGATAGATAGATAGATAGATAGATAGATAGATAGATAGATAGATAGATAGATAGATAGATAGATGATAGATAGAATGTCTGATTGCCTTCAAAATGCAATCATGGCATACGTTTTTAACTGAGAATATTTGTAGGGTTCACTTGCTTGGCTTTATTCTACACAAGATCTTTGAAAGATGTTCTGGAGATGAGATCCATCCCTACCCTCTTGGCTTTCTGAAGGACCCTCAAAACCTGGTTCTGCAGACTGGCTTTGGGCCCTGATGGGGGTGTTCCATGCTGGAAGTGGCTAATGGACTAAGAAGATTCCACCTCCATCCCACCAGAGTTCAGGTTCCCTGTTGACCCCATTTCTGTTCATTTTAATATTTTTATATTCTTGTTTTTATCTGTTGCGAGCTACCCAGAGTTGCTCAATGGTGAGATGGGCAGCATATAAATTTAATAGAAAATGAATAAATGAGCGAACAACCAACCAGAATATTACCCATTTCTGACAAATTGCTTACTATCCCCATGACTGTAAAGTTGGCCTACATATATAAAAGATAATGCCTCCCACATATGTACTAGTCACTCCTGACTTTAGATGGCGGTGGTCATCTCTGTTTCAAAGCCAAAGAGCCAGCGCTGTCCGAAGACGTCTCTGTGGTGGCCAGCATGACTCAATGCCAAAGATGCATGGAACACTGTTACCTTCACCAAAGGTGGTTCCTATTTTTGTACTTGCATTTTTACCTGCTTTCGAACTGCTAAGTTGGCAGAAGCTGGGACAAGTAACGGGAGCTTCCTCTATTACGCGGTGCTAGGGATTCGAACCACCGAACTGCTGACCTTTCTTATCAACAAGCTCAACGTCTTAGCTACCGCGTCCCTACATATATACTGACTCTAAATTGCAATACTGACTGCAGTTGTCACAGGATGGAATAACAGTCTGCTTTTTAAGTACTGTATCCACCCACAAAGGAGATCTGCATTTTGTGGCCAGAAGCAAGGTTTTTTGGAAATGTTCACCATGTCATTAATGGATTTCTTTCTTAATGTTATAAAAACCATGAAGATAACGTTGGAGTAATAGGACTTTTAATCCATCCTGACATTGGCCAGCTGACAAACTACACAGCTGCATCTCTCATTCCCTTAACTTCAAAATAAAACACAAGTATGGTGAATTTTTTGCTGCTATTAAGTTGCTATTCTCAACTAATCTCACAGGATAAAATTATTACCATTGGAAGGAACTACAAGTTTTATCCAATTCTCAGGGAACCTCTTTTCAGGCTTTTCAGAGTGAATTAAGTGAATTCCAACATTCCAGAAAACATATGCATTTTCCACAAGAAACAAACAGCATTGAATATATGGTTGTATATATAAAAACTACTGATAACCCAGCATTTCCCGGGTATTTATTTATCCTAATCCTGTATTAGACAGGAAAAGCCCTGATTTCGGCGACAATTAGTTATAAATGTTTTCCTTGTGCCCCCAGAAGCGTCAAGAAAGGTGATACCACCTTAATTTCTAATGTTGGATTCCCTCTCCCCCTTTCCAGAGGGAGCCCCCTTGTGGAGTACCGTGAAGCTGTTACCATAGAGACTCCACTGCGCTGCACAGAAGTGCATTTTATGGCAGTACGGTAGAAGCCACTGTAAGGCACAACAGGCTGTATCTTAGCAGAACACACCCCAGAGCTGTTATGGGTGTCTTACAGTATTTGTTTCCAAAGGGTAAGTAATCTGTGTACCAAATTTGGTTGAAATTGCTCAAGGCGTTCCAGAGTTATGCTGGAACATATATACGTGTGTGTGTCTGTGTGTGTGTGTCTGTGTGTGTGTGTGTACACACACAGAGCCGTTTATATATATATATAAATTCTGATTGATAAAACTTTCTCTCTATTTTGTTTTCTGAGAAAGTAAAACTGAAGATTCGTGACTTGCTTACCTGATTGGTGTGGAAATTATTCAACCAGCGTTCAATATGGGTAGCATACCAGCCTGGTACTAGGCAACGGTTCTGTAAAGTCCGAAGCTTCTGAGAGGTCTCAGGTCCAGCTGTAATCACCTCATGAAAAGTGTACTTCAGAGCAACTGGATCATCATGTGCCCGTTGATGCTATGAAGAAAAAAAACAACCCAATTTTGAGAGCTGAACTCTGCTGAACAGGAACAAGAGACATTCAAAGAAGCAGAGAGGAAACAAGAAAGAGGAAAGTGGAAGAAAGAGAGGAAGGCACAAAGAAAAACAGGCAGCATTAGGGTCATGTGAGGTCTAGGACAAATTGAGGCACAACAATCTAGAAAGCTGAATTCTAACGGTAAAGGGAAATTTTTGCTTCAGAAATCCCTGCAGACTGGTGGGCAGCCAGGAAGAGCTTCTCTAATGACATAAGAGCTGATGTTATTACATTTAAGAGCTACATTGCCTTTCCACTAATGAATAGTGCTTTAGGTCAAGAAGACACCGCCGCCATGGAGCAGCTTACCTGATACCAAGAGTAGGCCCGGTCTGCAGGATTGATGAGGATGGTGATTATTTTTGCCTTGGAAAGCAGTGCAGCAGCCCGCCTTGGTGTGACTTCTGAATCAAAGTAATTGGCACTCTTCTCAAAATAGAAATCAGAAGTAGTGTTGGAAGGAATGGGGAAAAACTCCATATACCTTAAAAAAAAAATTAGCAGCAGAAAGGGGAAAATAGATTGGGTGAAGCAATACAGAAATAGTTTCAGTTTCTTACTCAATGTCAATTGTTTATGCCACTTTAAACAGAACAAGGATTAAGACACATCAAAGGTTTCTTTCCAGCCCCAAACCGTATTAGTCAAGACATTCATTAGAATGTAGCTGATTTTAGAACTTAAGCCTGAACAACCAATGAAGCATTCTTCTGGATCAAAGAATTAACAGACTGCAATTTATTACATTTATGGAAAAGATTAAGCATACGGCAAATGCAGCATGAACTATTGAACACAAGACAAACAGACCAGCTGCTGATCCCCATTCTTCCCAAGCAGACAGATAGGAATAAATGGTACATTTTAAGAAAAGAGGGGGGAAATGTTACAACAGATATTAAACACAAAACCCTGTTTTCCTCATTCACATTTTAGTCCAGTAGGATTAACACAGGTTTACAGGGCATCACTGCAGAAACCCGGTACAAGAATCAGATAAAACGTGTGTAACAATTCTGTGTTTCAGGCTTACAGAGATGGTTTCCTGACAAAGTAGAACAAGTAACTGGTCCTGGTCCTTGAAATATCTTACCACCCTTCTGACTTTCCATAAGAGCCTTACAGTAGGTTCTACCAGATGGCTTGGGTACCAATGGGGGATATCACACTGGAGGTGGTTGATCAATTAAGAGTCAACCTTACCTCCTTTCCCCTCCTCTAACCCCCCGGTTGCATTTGGCTCTCTCCATCCAGAAGTGGCATTCTGCCAGTTTTGGCAGGTTCTGGTAGAACCGGTAGTGGAAATTTTGAGTAGTTTGGAAAACTGGAAAATAGGCTGGCCCCGCCCCCGCTGCCTCCCAGCTGATCTTCTTTCATGGCCCCGAACAGGAGAACGGAGCTGGAAAGCAGGTTAGTGGGATGGGGAGGGAATGGGGATTTTGCAGTATCCTTCCCCTGCCACGCCCACAAAGCCACGCCATGCCCACAAAGCCACACTCACAGAACCAATAGTAAAAAAAATTGAATCCCATCACTGTCTCCATCTCCATCTTGTAACTATGATTTTACTTTGATTGTACTTCATTTTATTGTGTTAGGAATATTTACTTCTGATTTTAATGTTTTCATGCTCTAAGCTGCCAAGAACCGCTTCGAAATGAGATGGATGGCAAATAAAATTAATTAATTAAATCTAAGAGCTAAATATGTATATTTCTTCCACAAATCTAAATCCAAAGGGAAGTTTGCCCCTTCCTTACTAGATTTGTTTGATTTTCAAAACATTTCGGAAAAATAGATTAGGACATTGCAAAGCTGTTCCTTCATTCCTTGTGATCTCTAGGCTGGAATACTGTAATGTGCTCTACATGGGGCTGCCCTTGAAGAGCATCCGAAGACTACAGCTAGTCCAGAATGCGGCCGCGCGAGTGATCGTGGGCGAACCGTGGTGCACATAACACCGATCCTCCGTGAGCTGCACTGGCTACCTGTTGGTCTCCGGGTGCACTTCAAGGTCCT